TCGAGTTTTATTATAGATGTTGAATTTTGTCAAATGCTTTTTCTGCATCTATTGAGATGATATGGTTATTGTCTTTTATTATATTGATATGCTGTATTAATTTATTTTTAAATGCTAAATCAATCTTGCATCCATGGAATAAATCCCACTTGGTTATGGCGTGCAATCCTTTTTTGTTACTGGACTTAGTTTTCTAATACTTTATGAATGGTTTTTCCATCTGTATTCATAATGGATATTATTCTGTAGTTTCTTACAACGTCTTTCTCTAGCTTTGGTGTCAAGGTAATGCTGGCTTCACAAAATGAGTTGGGAAGTAATTTTCTGAGTAAGTTTATGAAGAATTGATATTATTTCATTTTCAAATATGTGATAGACTTCACCAATGAAGGAATTTATCCCTCAGCATTTCTTTAGGGGAAGATTTTAAATTACTAATTCAATATCCTTTGTTTTTAGATTTGTTTGAGAAAGAGAAAGAGAGCACGCACATGCAAGTGTGTGTGGGGGCGGGGAGGGGCAGAGGGAGAGAGAGAAACTCAAGCAGACTCCCTGGTCAGCATGGAGCTTGATGCAGGGCTCAATCTCACGACCCTGAGATCATGACCTGAACCGAAATCAAGAGTCAGACGCTTAACCAACTGAGCCACCCAGGCATCCCATTTAATTCCATATCTTTTTTAATTAAGTATAACTAACATACACTGTTATATTAGTTTAAGGTGTATGATAGAATGATTCAACAATTCCAAGTATTTCTCAGTGCTCAGCAAGTTAAGTGTACTCTTAAATCCCCTTTATTTCATCCATCCCCCCACCCTGGTCTGCTCTGGCAATAACCAGGTTGTTCTCTGTATTTATAGGTCTAATTATGCTTTTTGTTTGTTTATTCATTTCTTTTTAGATTTCACATATAAGTGAAATCATAAGGTATTTGTCTTTCTCAGACTTATTTCATGTAGGTTTATACCCTCTAGGTCCATCCATGCTGTTGCACATGGCAAGATTTCATTCTTTTTTAAAGCTGAGTACTGTTCCATTGTATATACATACCACATCTTCTTTATCTACTCATCTATGGACGCACACTTAGACTGCTTCAATAGCTTGGCTATTACAAATAGTGCAGTGATAAATATAGGCGTGCATATATCTTTTCAAATTAATGTTTTTGTTTTATTTGGATAAATACCCAATAGTGGAATCACTGGATTAGATGATGATTCCATTTTTACTTTTTGAGGACCTGTCATACTGTTTTCCACAGACACTTCATCAGTTTGCATTCCCACCAACAGTGCATGAAGGTTCCTTTTTCTCCACATCCTCACCAACACTTGTTATTTCTTGTCTTTTTGATTCTAGCCATTCTGACAGGTGTAAAGTAATAGCAGATTGTGGTTTTAATTTGCCTTTCTCTGATGCTTAGTGATGTTGAGCATCTTTTCAAGTGTCTGTTGACAATCTGTATGTCTTCTTTGGAAAAAATATTTATTAAGGTCCTCTGCTCACTGTTTGATTGGATTGTTTTTTCCTCAGTGTTGAGTTGTATAACTTCATTACATATTTTGGATATTAACCCCTTAATGGATAAATCATTTGCAAATATATATATATCATTTTTTTGGTTGATGGTTTCCTTCGTGGGACAATAGCTTGTTATTTTGGTGTGGTCCCAGTAGTTTAATTTTACTTTTGTTTCCTTTGCTGGAGGAGACACATCCAGAAAAATGTTTCTACTGCTGATGTGAAAAAATTACTGTATGTTTTCTACTAGAATTTTTATGGTTTCCGGTCTCACATTTAGGCCTTTCATCCCTTTTGAGTTTATTGTTGTGTATGCTGTAAGAAAGTAGTCCAGTTTCATTCTTTTGCATGTTGTTGTCCAGTTTTCCCGCATCATTTCTTGGAAAGACTGTCTTTTCCCCCTGCATATTCTTGCCTCCTTTGTAATAGATTAATTGACCATATAAGCATGGGTTTATTTCTGGGCTCTCTATTCTGTTCCATTGATCTCTGTGAATATTTTTGTGCCAGTACCATAGTGTTTTGATTTTTACAGCTTTGAAGTATAGCTTGAAATCTGGGATTGTGATACCTCCAGCTTTGTTCTTCTTTTTCAAGACTGCTTTGGCTATTTGGGGTCTTTGGTGGTTCCACACGAATTTTAGGGTTATTTGTTCTAGTTCTAGTGAAACATGTTGTTGGTATTTTGATAGGGATTGCATTAAATCTGTAGATTACTTTGGGTAGTATGGACATTTTAACAACATATGTTGTTCCAATGCATAAGCATTGAATATCTTTCCATTAGCTTATGTCCTCTTCAGATTCTTTCATCACTGTTTATGTAAGTTTTCAGAGTATAGGTCTTTCACCTTCTTGGTTAAGTTTATTTCTATGTATTTTATTCTTTTTGGTGCAACTGCAAATGGGATCATTTTCTTAATTTCTCTTTTTGCTACTCCATTATTAGTGTACAGAAATGCAACAGATTTCTGTATGTGGATTTTTTATCCCGCAACTTTACTGAATTAATTTATCAGTTCTAATAGTTTTTTGGTGGAGTCTTTAGGGTTTTCTATATACAGTATCATGTCATTTGCAAATAGTGCAAGTTTTACTTCTTCCTTACCAATTTGGATGCCTTCTGTTTCTTTATGTTGTCTGACTGCTGTGGCTAGGACTTCCAGTACTATGTTGAATAAAAGTAGTGAGAGTGGACATCCTTGTCTTGTTCTTGATCTTGGAGGAAAAGTTCTCAGGCTGATGTTAGCTCTAAGTTTTTTCATATATGGCCTTTATGTTGAGATATGTTCCCTCTAACCCCCCTTAGTTCAGAGTTTTTATTATGAATGGATATTGTACTTTGTCAAATGCTTTTTCTGCATCTACTGAGATGATCATATTTTTTTTCCTTTCTCTTGTAAATGTGATGTATCATGATAATTGATTTGTGAATACTGAACCACCCTTGCATCCCTGGAATAAGTCCCATGTGATGGTGGTGAAAGATTTTTATTTTTTTTAATATTTTATTTATTTATTTGACAGAGAGAGAGACAGCAAGAGAGGGAACACAAGCAGGGAGAGTGGGAGAGGGAGAAGCAGGCTTCCTGCCCAGGAGGGAGCCCGATGCGGGGCTTGATCCCAGGACCCTGGGATCATGACCTGAGCTGAAAGCAGACTCTTAATGACCGAGCCACCCAGGCACCCCGCAGATGATTTTTTAAATGTATTGCTGGATTCAGTTTACTAATACTTTATTGAGGATTTCTGCATCTATGTTCAGCAGAGATATTGGCCTACAGTTTTATTTCTTCATCATGTCTTTATCTGGTTTTGATATCAGCATAATGCTGGCCTTACAGAATGAATCTGAAAGTTTTCCTCCTCTTCTATTTTTTGGAAATTTTGAGATCAATAGGTATTAACTCTTCTTTAAATATTTGGTAGAATTCATCTGTGAAGCCATCTAGTCCTGGACTTTTGTTTGTTGGGAGTTTTTTGATTACTGATTCAACTTCATTGCCACTAAATGGTCTATTCAAATCTTCTATTTTTTCCTGATACAGTTTTAGTGTTGAAGTCCTTTAACTTTTGCTTATCTAGGAAACTCTTTATCTCTTTTTCAATTCTGAATAACTTTGCTAGGTATTCTTGGTTGTAGTTTGTTGTTGTTGTTGTTGTTGTTGTTGTTTTCCTTCCAGCACTTTGAATATATCATGCCACTTTCTTCTGACCTGGAAAGTTTCTGATAAAAACTCAGGTGATAGCCTCATGGTGTTTCTCTTGTGTTTCAGTATTTTCTCTTGCTGCTTTTTAAAATTCTGTCTATCACTATTTTTTGCCATTTTAATTATTATGTGTCTTGATGTGAACCTCCTTGGGTTGATTTTATTGGAGACTCTCTGTGTCTTTTTTATTTGGATGTGTGTTTCCTTGCCCAGATTGGGTAAGCTTTCAGCTATTATTTCTTTAAATAACTTTCCTGCCCCCTTTTCTCTCTCTTTTTCTTCTGGGATCCCTATAATGTAAATGTTATTATGCTTAATGATAGTGCTGAGTTCCCATAAGCTATTTATTCTCATTTTGTATTATTCTTTTTTCTTTTTGCTGTTCAGCTTGAATGCTTTCCATTACCCTGTCTTCTAGATTGTTGATTTGTTCTTCTGCATATTCTAATTTGCTGTTGATTCCCTCTAGTGCATTTTTAATGTCAGTTATTGAGTTCTCTAGGGTCAGGAACAGTTTGATAACATTGGAATTAGCTGTTCTTTAAAGGTTGAACAGAAGTAAGCTTTGAAACCATTCAATCTTATAGCCCTCCCCCACCCCTGCTTTCTGTGGTGGATTTAAAAAATACTTCCCAGGTTTCTTTACTCTAGTAAATAACATTGAGTTTGAGAACTAAGTTTCCTGGCTTGCTTCGGAAAATTACATTAATGTCATTTAACATGTGTGTTATATCTTTCTTCTAAGGAGTTCAAATTGCATTACAGCAATTACAGAAATCAGAATCAAGATATTAGAACTGGAAGGAACCTTAAAAATAATCTAACTCAACCATCTAATTTCATAAATGAGTTCACATAAACATTAATTTTCATATAATTTAGTTTCAGTTAAGAAGGTAGTTTATTAGGGGTAACTGCAGACGTAGAAATGTTCATATAAGCTATACAGTCAGCTAAGTCTAGTAATATTTGGTTTAGGAAATGTTGGGATCTTTCACTTTCCAGGTTTAGATTAAATGATGTTAAGCCAGGAACTGAAATTCCCAACAGGTATTTTTTTACTGAAAATCTTCACTCATTATCCCGATTACCAGTTAACTTTTCTAAGTCATTCTTTCGTTGTTTTTATATATTGAATGTGAAGACTAATAGGAATGGATTATCCTATATCTTTACTTTATTCTCACCTAAAAGTAGAAAGGTTTAGAACAAGACTGTGCCCATTCCTCATGATCATTAGACTTTCGTCCACATCCAACTTACCAAGTCTTTGTCTAAAGCCCCAGGGACAGACTTGCTTCTTATGTTTGCAGTATTCTCTAAGTCTTCTGGAAAGGACCCACTCAGATCGAACTCAGATCGACTCCGGTCTGGAGGAGTGAAGAGAGAAGGAGAGATATGAATCAGCTTATTTTGTTAGAAGATTTCAGTTTTCATTGCAAATGTTTTATCTTTATTCCCATTCTTTCTAGGCACAGGGCACAGGGTGTCATGAAAGCAACAGTCAGAGTCAATAACTTCATGCTGTTTATACTAACATGTTTCTCTTTTTTCTTAAAGTGTTTTGAAATTTTCTTGAATTGCATTACCAACAGTGATGTGTTCATTTCATCTTTGATTAAAGGAAGCTAAATGTTCTATTGTAAAATGCAAATTTTTAAACTAAGTTTCCTGTTTTTCTCATAGACTGAAAAACTCTCATTGAATGGGGCCTTAAAATATAATGAGCCCATAGAAAAAAATAAAGCATGAATCATTCTTGATTTATATACTTAGAGAATTCACTGTGTTTTCATATCTGACATAAAATGCTATTAAATGACATAGCAGGGCACCTGGGTGGCTCAGTTGGTTAAGCGACTGCCTTCGGCTCAGGTCATGATCCTGGAGTCCCGGGATCGAGTCCCGCATCGGGCTCCCTGCTCAGCGGGGAGTCTGCTTCTCCCTCTGACCCTCCCCCCTCTCATGCTCTCTCTCTTTATCTCATTCTCTCTCCCAAATAAATAAATCTTTAAAAAAAATAAAAAATAAAAAAATAAATGACATAGCAACTTTCTTTCAGATGAAAAGGGAGCGGCTACAGGTAAACTGAGAAGTTGTTCTATTTCTTTGGGCACCAGAACATTCTTTCATCAGAGGAACATCTTGCTTTTAAAAATATAATTTGAAGAGCAATGCACAACTCAGTCATGCTGTGGACAACTTACTAAGACACAGGTTACTTACACAGAACAGTTCTATATCAAAGTCCTGCTGAGATCTAGTTGCTCGTAATGAGAAAGATTAAAGAGAGCAATCACATACTTGAGTTTGAACTGGTAAATTAAATAATGCAGAAGTGCTTAGGACAGGGCCTGACACAGAGTATGTACTCAATAAACAGGAGCTGTTGACTAGAAGTAGTAGCAAAACGATCTATGAGGTGGGCTTCTATATTAGTTTAAAATTTTTCTTTTAACGGGAGAACCAATCTTGTCATCCTGAACAAAATGCAACAATAACTACACATATTCAGAAAATGCTTTGGGAGTTTCCTGACTAGAAAGACTCCCCACCTCAGCATACAGAATCCAGCCTCAGGCTTTATGCAAATGTCATCATTAGGTAAGTTAGCTTTCTCTTGTTGAGGATTTTGTCATGATTTTAATTCTACACAGGGGATATAAGCTTCCTAACTATGGCAAATTTCTCTAAAGAATTTTCTTATTTATAGGTAATAAAATGACAACACAAATAATACCTGCTTCCCAGGGTTGTTGTGATGAAGAAGTGAAATGATATACCGTATCTGAATGTACCATACAAACGAAAAGGGTTGTTATTAATACCTTAATGCTGCTTGCAAATAACTTTCTATTTAAACCACAGGATAATTAATCTGTCTAGATATAGGGCATTTATGACCACCATGTCAAATGAACCATCATTTCCCTGAATTCTGGGAAAGCGCCTGTATCTTTCCATCAAATGAACCAACACTCCTACACTCCTGTACTGACATTTGGTATAGCTCTGAAAAGTGGCAGTGATGACTGACAAGTGTATACACTTAATAAATGGATTTTGCACGAATGCAAGAGGCTCAGGGCATTACCTGGGTCCACATTTAAGCTGTTCTTATGGAACGGGCCTACATGATGGGTCAAAGAACAAACGGTTATTTTCTAAAACATGGAACATTCATTTAATGTCACACAAGGCAGTTAATTTCAAACGATTTAGTCATTTTTTTTTTTTAAAAAAAAAGAGTAATCATGCTGTAAATACCTACCTGAGGAGAGGGAGATCTCAGACACCGCTATGGAAGGTGTACCAGAAACGTTTCTGCGATGACTCTTTGTGAGGTCCTCATACGTGCTTTCAATGGCAGCCAAATCCACGGAATTTTCAAAACCGCGTTCCTTCTCACAAAGTAAAAATGAAAAAAAAAAATTTTAATGACTGTAATTTACTTTAAAAGGCTCCCATATGAATATACTTCAGTATAACCATATTTGCATTGTATTTCTCTTTAGGAGGAGCTAGTTGACATTTGGGGGGGATCCTCATCAGGAGTCCATATAACTCTAAAGTTTATTATCAGTAATTGCTCTATAAAACCTATACCAAGAGGTTTGTTAAGTAGCACAAAAGTTCAAAATAATTCTTCACTCACAAAATCGTGTGTGTTCTAATACGTGGTTGGCAAGAAAGATGATATAAGTACCTCCAATCTTACATGAACTATATATAAGAATCTGGCTAGCTTCACATCCCCAGAGTAATACTCAAGCTTAGTACTCTGTTTGGTCCTGTGTTTATTCCCACTCTCAACACCCTGTTTCCTCAACCACCCCCTACCTCCTCTACCCCCATTTAACAGAAGACCATGATCCACATCCAGGTTAACACACGGCATAGAAGGGCCCCCAGGATACTGCCCCAGCCTTGGGCCAGAGTCCGGCTGATTGCTCAGTGCCTCAGCCATATCAGTTACTAAATACTTTGAATATCATTCCTTGTTAGGTTGTCAAGAAGTAAGGGGAATCATCAACTACCCATGCACTTTTCTGGCTACTGAACAGTAAGTACTGCTTGCTGAGCTTAGGATAAATATTTACGAAATTTTAAATATGCCTTTTACCTTATCAGCAAGTACAATTCAGACTGTAAGTATTGAAAGAAATCTTCCATTATTATTCAATCTGTCTGAATGCCTTTTGGCTTTTCCTTAAAAATATTTATAGAATCTGACTGTTCATAGCCTCTGCTTTTTCTTTAAGTTCGTGATTTATTTTTCTGAAGTTGCATTATAGGAAGAGTTGATATTTTAAATAAATATTTAGTTTTTATAGTCAGTATTTAGATATTGACTAGTTTTACTGAAGTTCACATAGAATATTAGGTTCAGGTAGATAACACAGTGATTCAACAATTGTATACAGTATGCAGTGCTCACCGCAGTAAGTGTAGTCACCATCTGTCACCATACAATGTTATTACAATATTATTGACTCTATTCCCTATCCTCTACTTTTCATCTCCATGACTTATTTACTTTATAACTGGAAGTTTGTTCGTCTTAACCCCCTTCACCTATTTCACCCATCCCCTCATTCCCCTCTCCTCTGGCAACCACCCCTCTGTTCTCTAATATACAATGGTCTGTTTCTGGTTTTGTCCCAGTTTGTTCATTTATTTTGATTTTTATATTCCACATGTAAGTGAAGTTATATGGATTTGTCTTTCTCTGTCTGACTTACTTCCCTTAGCATAATACCCTCTAAGTCCATCTAGTGTTGTCACAAATGCTATGATCTCATTCTTTTTTATGGCTAAGCAATATTCCATTGTGTGTGTGTGTGTGTGTGTGTGTGTGTGTACACACACATCTTCTTTATCCATTCATCTATCAGTGGACATTGGGGTCGCTTCCATATCTTGGCTATTGTAAATAATGATACAATACACATAGGGGTGCAGATATCTTCTTGAATTTAGTGTTTTGGTTTTCTTTGGGTAAATACCCAGTAGTGGAATTACTGGATCATATGGTAGTTCTACTCTTAATTTTTTTGAGAAACCTCCATACTGTTTTCCACAGTGGTTGTACCAGTTCGCATTCCCACCAACAGTGCACAGCATTCACAGCCTCCCCTTCTATCTTCTTGTTCCAAAGCCTAGTTTCTCACCTGCAGTAAGACAATGGCATCCTAACTGGCCTCCTGGCATCTCCACTGGTTCCCCTACAAATGCTTCTCAGCACAGCCCCCAGGTCCCGTGTAAAGAGAAGCCACATCCTCTGCCCATTTTTCAATTGGATTTTTTGGTTTTTGGGTGTTGAGTTGTATAAGTTCTTTATATATTTTGGATTAAGGAGTGCACTTATCATGATGAGCACTGGGTGATGATTGGAATTGTTGAATCACTATATTGTACACCTGAAACTAATATTACACTGTATGTTAACTATACTGGAGTTAAAAAAAAAAACTTAATAAAAACAGAAAAACAAAAAAAATGAAAAAATGACCAAAAAGAAAAGCCACACCTGCTCAAAACCCTCCAACTGTCCTCACCTTATTCCAACTATATGTCAAAATGCATACAGCAGTCTGGCCCCGTTACCTCTCTGAGCTCACTTCCTAGTCTTCCTCCCTTTATTCACTCGCAACAGCCATACTGGCCCTCTTGCTCTTCCTTGAACATACCAGGCATGTTCCCACTTCAGAGTCTTAGCGCTGGCTTGTTTCTCCAGGGGCATTAAAAATATTTTAGATGCTGGTTGAACAAGGGCACTAACCACCGAAAACGGAGACCAGCCATAAGTAACTGGAACAGCTTTCCCTGTATGTGTACCTGCTAAATATCAGTGCTGTCCCTGCCCAAAGGGGCACCTTGCTACAGACTCCTGCATGGCTAATTCTTTCACTTACTACAATCTTTGCCTGACTAGGACCAAGATTTCTTAAATATAGATGTCGGCTACATGTATGGAGTTTCCTGCTTAACCAAAAAATCTAGATGCTCATTCGTTCAAAAGAACAACTTCCACATTCATGTATATTTTATGTATAATGCAATTTAAGTCTTTGTTATATGTTGATCCCGAATTTTAGCAGTTTTATAGAACGAAAAACTATTTAAAAATTCCAAGACTCTACTTTTCCTGATTTAAATCAGTCTGGAAAATGTCTAGTCCAGTCAACTTCTGAACATCTTGACAAATAACATGGAGGATCAAAAGCGGAGACCTCTAAACATGATTTCTGTTTTGTTTAAACCATATAACCACCACCTTTGAACCTGCTCCTTCCCTTGGCTTCACACTTCTGGCTTCCCAGCAGGAGCTAAGGATATAGGAGGTTCAGTCCTGATAAAGATGTTTCTACAACTAAATAGCATAAACAGCACGCTTCGAGATACAGAGAACTCAAACCCAACCAGGCCATGATGGTGAGGTCAGGTCTCAGAAGCTGGGGGTCCCTTCCCATTTGGGTACTTACTCTAATGCTGACTGAGGTCACACTGTGTGTGCTTGGGGCTGGTGACCTCTGAGTGACGGGGGTCACACCACTGCTCCGGCTACTCTTCGGGGTTGCGGGGCCAGCTTCCTGGTCATTCAGATCTGATGAACCAGTGCTTCCCCTAAATGAGAGAAAGAATATTCTGACTTTAACAAGGTGAGCAGCTACCATGTCGCTCTCTTCCTCGAAGACTCACTAGGTTCAAGCCCATCTGTCTGACTCCAGGGTTTTTGTAATTGAGCTTGGCTCTACCTTTCCACCTTTATTTCCCACTCTTCACCAGCATTCTCTCAGCCCGGACAGGGTCCTTGCTGTCCTCTCAACTCACCACACTCGTGGCTCTTGGCTTCTGCATCTACCTCTAAGGCTTTTGCTCACATTCTCTCCCCCTGACATGCTCTATTTGCCACTCCCTGTTTATGCAAATCTTCCCTACCTTTCAGGGCCCAGCTGAAGTCCAGCCTCCGCCATCAGGACTTTCCTGACATTTGCAAGCCTTGTCAACCTCTGCTCTGCTCAATTCTTATTGACTTACAGTCTTTACCAAACTGTGCAGTCCTTGACTACAGGATGTCTTATTTGTCTCCCCAAGTGATCCACCTATGTGGGCCTTGGTGCTTCTTTCAACCTAAACTCCCTGGGGACAGAGTTCATATTTACCATGATATCTCCACTACCTTCATAATGCCTTGGTGCAAAGGAGGCACTCAGTACATATTTAATCAAAGAGTGGAAATTATGTTGTATTTCTCTGTGTTGTTTCAGGGTCTGACTCATGGTGCACATTTAATAAATGTGGTATAAAAATACTGACATTTGGTAAATGGGCTTGACTCACTTTGTTTGCTAAAACTGATTCAATTCCATTCAATAATGATTAATAAAAAAAATAGTTCTTGCCTTTGAGGTGAACACAATTTTCTCATTACATGGAGTTTCATAAGTGTAAGTGTCGATAAAATAGAATTTAAGAGAAGTGCTTGTTCTATTTTATTCTTTATCCTTGGTGAGCACAAAATACACTAAGTGGTAAAATAGAAGCCTTTGTGAATTTCTCTCTTCTATTTATTATTTAGTAAGTTATAAGTGCATCTATAATAATAAACATTTTACTGTTTAAAGCCTCGCAGTGATAGTTAATAGTGACTAGAACAGTCAAGGCAATCAAAAAAGATATGCAAAAGAACAGAGAAAGGGTGTTTGTTTGTTTGTTTTTTTAAAGAATGTCTGACTGTGCAAGTGACATTACTGGAAGACAAATCTGGCAGGAGAAAGAGCTGGCATTGATCACCGCAGCTATCAACTACAGCTCATAAGTTTTTCAAGACTGTGCGCCAGAGAAGCCACTAAAAGCAAATCAAATATGCCCTGACTGATACAACTAGTTACCACCACCCTCCATAATTATGCAAATAGAAGCTACATTTACTGAGTATTTTCTAGGCGTTTGACACTCTCCATTCTCCAAATTCCCTGTTAAAAAATACCAACAGTCTTCTTTTAAAGATGAGAAAACTGAGTCTTGGAGAGGTGAAGCAATTATTCCGTAAATGCACACATGTGTCCGTGTCCACACACAACACACACCACCACTACCATGCTCTCACACAGTTAGTATGTAGTAAAGTCAGGATAAAAACTGAGACCTGCCTGCTTACCCAAAGCTTGTGCTCATTCCAGTTGCTCATACTGCTTACTCAGCATTTCACCAAGATCAAATTGATACAACCAGGCAGGTTCTACATTGATAGAAGGAGCTATCATGCAGAAAATAATCCAAGGATCAGAGAGCTGGGAGTTAGTTTCTTGGAATCTGATTAAGAGAACTAAAAATTCTCTGGGTAGCATTCTTTGTTTCATTTCTTTATTTGAGAGAGAGAGAGAGAGAAAGCATGAGAAGGGGGAGTGGGAGAGGGAGAAGCAGACTCCCTGCTGAGCAAGGAGCCCGATGCGGGACTCTATCCCAGGACCCCGGGATCATGAACTGAGCCAAAGGCAGATGCTTAACTGACTGAGCCACCCAGGCGCCCCTAGGTAGCAGTCTCTGGCTTCTTCTTCTAGAGATGGCCCTCTGAATTAACTGTAGATTGCTCAGGAGGGGTCTAGGACTGTGTCTTGATTCTGATCACAAGAGAATGTAAAGTTTTGTGATCAAATAAATTGATATAATTTGAAATTATAAGTTCCTTGGTAAATTTCCTGAGCCCTCTTCCCTCAGGGGCTACACTTCTACACTTGACAACAGTTAAACCATCCAAGTGTTTTTGCTCATCTCAGAAGTCCTACGTAGAAAGGTTTTAGAGACCTACCCAGTAATGCTGTGCTATGACAGTAGGTTCTCTACTCTCAGAACAATGTTACCACAGAAATCTCTCCTCCTACCATTTTAGGTAAAATCTCCCTGAAAAAAAGAAAGGATACACATGAATCTCTCAGAAATGAGCTAAGAAGTTATGATCCAAAGGGACCCATGTAGATATAGCTGCTTGTGCCTGTCCTAAAGTTTTCCTTGACCCAGGTGGTTCTGAAAAAGTCCACATCATGGATCGGCTTTGCTGGAACCAAAAGTCCTACTTATGTAGAAGCTCTGGCAGAAGCTGATTAATTGTGGTGATGACATTCAAAAGGCTATCCTGTAATAAGAAAAAAAATCTTATGGCTATAAGTCAGCTATTGGAAATTGTTGCCGGAATCATTATCTCAAAAATGACATAGAATTTCACATTTGTCCGTGACATTTACTGTGAGCTTCTCAAAAATATTTTCCTCTCAGCTGGTTGTTTCAGTTTGTTAGACTAAAAAAATTTAGCCTAATGAGGCAGAATATCATAAATATTTGGATGCCAACTCTTTTAGATGTTATATAAAATATGACATGAAATACATACATCTTTGCCACTTAAACAGTAGGAGGATAAAGCCTTCCTCAAGTCTAAATTCAAGAAGTTTAAAGGTCAATTAAGAAAGAGCTACTTTTTGGGCAGAGGACCTGAACAGGCATCTTCCCAAAGAAGACAACCAGATGGCCAACAGACACGTGAAAAGATGCTCACCATCACTCATCCTCAGGGAAATGCACATCAAAACCACAATGAGATCTCACCTCACATCTGTCAGAACTGCTAAAATCAAAAAGACAAGAAATAGCAAGAGTTGGCCAGGATTGTGGAGAAAAGGGAACCCTCGTGCACTGTTGGTGAAATGTAAATTGGTGCAGCCACCGTGGAAAATAGTATGGAGGTTCCTCGAAAAATTAAAAGCTGAACTACCATATGATCCAGTGATTCCACTACTGGGTATTTACCCAAAGAAAACCAAAACACTAATTCAAAAAGACATATGCACCCTTATGTGTACTGCAGCATTATTTACAATAGCCAAGACGTGGAAGCAGCCCCAGTGACCACTGACAGATGAATGGATAAAAAAGATGTGGTATGTATACAATGGGATATTATTCAGCCATAGAAAAGAATGAGCTCTTGTCATTTGTGACAACAGAGATGGACCTAGAGGGTATAATGCTCAGTGAAATAAGTCAGTCAGAAAAACAAAAATACCGTGTGACTTCAGTCCTATGTGGAATCTAAAAAATAAAGGAATAAACAACAACAAAAAAAACAAAAAGTAGAATCAGACCTATAAATACAGAAAACAAACTGGTGGTTGGAACGGGAGGGGATGGGCAAAATGAGTGGAGAGTGGGAGATAAAGGCTTCCAGGTAGAGAGTGAGGAAGTCACGGGAGTAAAAGGTGCAGCATAGGGAGTACTGTCAACGGTACTATAACAGTGTTGTGTGGTGACAGGTGGGAGCTACCGCTCCGGTGAGCACAGCATAACGGAGAGAGTGGTTCAATCACTGTTGCACGCCTAAAACTAACGCAGGGGAGAGGGGCAGGGGCAGAGGCAGAGGGAGAAGCAGGCTCCCCGCTGAGCAGGGAGCCCAATGTGGGACTCGATCCCAGGACCCTGGGATCATGACCTGAGCCGAAGGCAGACGCTGAACCAACTGAGCCACCCAGGCGTCCCTGAAAGAGCTATTTTTGATTCAGATATCATGTTATTGATACTTAAAGTGTAAGTATTAGAAATCAGTGTCAACAAAACTTCAAGCTAAAATTTACTTAAAGAGAAACTGACAAGAAAGAGATTCTATTTTTCCTCTTCCAATAGGGCCCAAAATGTGGGGAGAGGACACTGCCTAGGGAGCTGGGATATTCCAGGTTACTTGAAAGACACATTTCCTAGAGAAGGAAACGGTTTCATTTACTTTAGCTTATGAAATATACTTTAAAAGTCTTCCATTTTGTTATCTCTAATCTCATGCTGGCCCAAAATCTTGATAATGGCTTTCTAGATATATCTATTTTTATTCATTCATTCATTCATTCCTTCACTTATTTATAGATTGTATTTATTTATTTGAGAGAGAGAGAGAGAGAGGGAGAAGGAATGAGTAGGGGGAGGGGTAGAGGGAGGAGAGAGAAGCAGACTTCCCCCTGAGCAGGGAGTCTGACACAGGGCTGGATCCCAGGACCCTGAGATCATGACCCGAGCTGAAGTCAGATGCTTAACCGACTGAGCCACCCAGGTGTCCCTAGATAAACCTGTTTTTAGTTAAAGGACCTAAGGATAGGGGAGAGAGACTATAATTTAATGAGTTGCCTTTGTGGATTATATAACTGTCTCCCAGGAGTTGGTAGTCTGAAAAGCATTTCCCAGGATGCAACCTTCCCGGAGTGGGCTGACAATGTTGAGTCTGTGCCTGCATGGTTAAATGAGTACTCCCCTAAGGAAGATCAACCAAAAGGCAGCATTAATCTGAGAAACACTAACACTCACTGCCTAGTGCATATCATGACACAGAGACTGCACAATATTCTTTCTGTGGTTTATGTGCTCTCCTACCTTTTTTTCAGTTAATCAGATCTGAAATGGATATGTAAGCAGAGCAAGGGAGGTGGCAGTTAGAAAGTGAGGTGATCCCATTAAATGGGAAAGAGATGTTAAAAATGAGGAAGAAAAGAGAAAAAAGGTGAACATAGTTCAACTTTTCAGTCTTTGGTGATCCCAAAATGCTTTGTCTTTCTCAACAGTCTTATGGGAGATGGGTGGTCCTC